TTGTGTGTAAGTGTGTATGTGAATGTGTCTGAGTGGGTGAGACTAATGGACTGGCTTTAAAGTGGGTGTTCTCTCCTACCTCTGATACAAAGGAGGTTCCATTGTAATTTTGGGTGTTTCTGAGGTGTTCCCACAGCAGAATACTTTTGAAAAGATGAAGTGGATAGGATGGTTAATGTACAGTAGATGAGGTCAGCAGCAGCAACAGGGAATAAACAACAGTCCCTGCAAGACATGAGGAGGGTTTTAACACCTTATCTTTAGCAGAGCTGAATATGTCTGTACGTGCCTGTCCGCGGCTCTGTTCATGGTGCGACCACAGGCATGAAAGAGGCAACAGAAAAACTGACACTATAAACATCACATGACAATACACACCCAATCATGGGAGTTCCAGCTGATATAAGAAGAGAGGAGCATGTTATGTGTAGTGAATGGATGAGGAATTTTGTCAGAGCATTAATTGTTTTTCTCAAATCTGCAACATCCGATAACAAAAAGTTATTCTCCATGCTTTTACTTTGTGCATCTTGTTATTTTTCTGGGTGAAAAGCCTCATTATCTCCTGTGCAGGGTTGTTTTCTGGTTCTTTCCATGATGAGACACAGCACAAACATCTCTTGGCTGTGAGCTGAAGTCAATACGCCTGAAAAGTCTTTGAAGACTGAAATACAAGACAAAATCAATGTCTGTCTCTTTCTGTTTCCCTCCCTCTGTTGCTGCCACACATCTGCCCCTTCCCATTTCCCTCCTTTCTGACACCTCCTCAACTCTGAGGAATGACTCTCCTCAGGACCAGGGTTGAATTGGATATGAAGGCACCTCAGGGGGATATCGTTCTTCTGGAGTCTGGACTGCGTCACGCCCTGCATCACCTCAGCGTCAAGCCTACGTCAGCTGCTCACACTGCTCTGTACGAGAGGGACCGTCAAATCCGCCCACGCCTCGGTATCTCTGGTTCACATTAAGACGACCACCAAGGTCCTGTGTCATACGTTCTGACCTGCTCAGAAGCACAGATATACCTGTGGGAAATACTCTAGGTTGTCTGTGGGTCAAAAAACATACAATGCTTCAAAACTGATGATGGCTGAGATGTTTTGTATCGAGCCCGAGAGTGTTCAATATTAAATAAATACTGAACAATATATTAAAGATTGAATAACTGGTGAAATACTTTCATGAATTAATAAAATTCAGTTCTTAATTTCAGTTTTATCAGATTTATTTAATCATAGGTTTTTTTTTAATTTCTAAATACTCATTTTCAAATGTGCCCCTATCTAGAGCCAGTGTTTGGTTTGTCCCTTCTGGGCTACTGTAGAAACATGGTGGTTCAACATAGTGGACTCCATGGACACAAATATAAAAACTTCTCAGTCTAAGGTGACGAAATACACAAGGTGATATCCTCATGTTCAGGTTGTTATACACTAATGAAAATGGCCTATATTATATTCTAATTTGCTGCCGAATAGAGCCTCCTAAAATGTTTACACAGTGGACCTTAAAGTGGAGCTCAAAGCACTGGCTAACAAATGCTAGCCTCCTGGGTTGCGCGTAGAACAAGCACATTATTCGCCAAAGTACTTCTTAACATAGTAAACCAGCAGCCTGCTGCTGTAAATAGAAATTACTAATAGAGATAAAATGTACATTTAGGAGGTTATACATTGATCTTTTTAATGTATTAAATGACCATTGAAATCAATGTGTGAAAGGGTGTTGCTCATAATGATGAACCACAGAAAATGTCGGGAGAGAAAGAATCTGGACCTTGCCCACATGCTTACTGCTTCCATTGTTTAGCTTCTGGGCCTGCAACCCTTACTGTTTTGGCCTTCTCTCAAAGCATCGGTTTTGGCTGCAGCAGGCGGGATGATTTCAGCCCCCCATTGTACACTGACCTGCTCCCGCATCAAACAAGCAGGACAGAGCACAGTTAGCAACTACCTCGGTAGATTAGTAGAGCATCTTAATAGCTCAAGAGTTGATAGAGACCAAAAACACAGCTAAAAGAGGAAGGTGGCACGGATTACACAACTGCAATGATTGACCAGTAATTTGCTCCATAACTTGCTGGGATGCGTATATCTTCAGAAGGTGATGATGCCTGCGTGTCCAGTGTAATGTCTGGCACCACCTTTGTTTCACGCCTGTGTCCAAGGTGGACCAAAACAAAATCAGGTATTGCAGGTTTAACAAGGCGTGCCACCATGTTTCCACCCAGGCCCCTGCTAGCAAACTAGTCTTTGTTGCTTTTCGGCAGCAGCCTGGCGGGCTAATTCAGAGTCACCTCCGGCAGGGTGTTCAATTCTAAATGATGGGGTCCAGGAATGTTCGGAAGTCGTTTATCTGTGGGTACACGTCTAGCAAAACCAGGAGCTATGCCTTATCGGCACGGTCATTAAACAGTGACATATGAATTAATGAAATGAAACCGTTTCATTATGAAAAAAGAACATTAAAAAGGCTTTAAAGTTTTAATCATTATGAAAATTAAAAACAGATATATTTGAGGTTAGGGTTAGTTAGGCCAATAAAGTTACTTGTTTTTTATTGAATTAATTTCAGTGTATGTGTATTTAATCGTGATAATTTATTCATAATATCTTTGTTTTTATTTATTCCCTACACTTTTAGGGCTTCCCACCAGATTCTGGGTCTTTTAATGCGACTCCTCTCCTCAATGCCCAGTGGAAGCAAAAATTGTAAGGGTCGAGTAAAACTATGAACTAGAGAGTGATCTGATGCACTCCCAGCTAATTCTGGCAGAGACAGTCGAGCTTGGCCCAACTACCCAAAAGAGAGAACAGTCTGGATCGTGTGTGCGCTAATGTGGGCACCGTTCTCAGTCTGCCTACAGCTAATTGGCTCCTCTGAGAGCCACGTACCAGCCAAACTCAATAGCACCATACA